CCCCAAAACCCCAAAACCCCAAAACCCCTTCCAATCGTTCAAAGATTGAACTTAAAATCTGCTCTATGTCTGGAAAAGATAGCAAGAAGTTTTCTTGAAATGAGTCATATAGCCTTTCCTCTTCTGTATAGGTGCAATGGCTGTATATTGTCCTTGTACTGTGAGTCCTTTAAACTTGTGTTTTTGGATGCTGTAGAGCATCTCTTCCTCTGTGATTAAGGAATCGTAGCAGACCAAACTCTTCAGAGTTGTTTTCAACGATCATTCAGAGATAGCTTGGAGAATACTACTGAACCGATACTGGTATTCTCCCCAGTTGCTGCATGAGGTCTGACCTCACCCTGTAAGACAAAGAGATTGAACTTTGTAGTCTTTAGAACTGATAAATTTACATCCTTCTGAATCTATCCTTCAGTATTTTATAGATATTGATTTTAGGTGGGAACAATTGGATATGATTCTTCAGAAATCTTGTCTTGTAATGACAAATCCTACAATTTCTAGTTTCTCACTATAAATAACCTGATTTAAGGATGAGTAATATTTGATAATCAAACAAATTTAATAAATTTATTCAAGGATAAATTACCTAATTCTTCAGAAATTCCTACAGAGAGCTCTAAAAATGATCAGCACAAAACTTACTGAGAGTAACTTCTGAACTTCTTGAGAGCTATTAAATCCTGAGAGTACCGAGAATCAAGAGAGAACTCCTTGAGCTTCTTTGGAAAGGCTCGCTCTAGAAACTTTACTACATATTTTCCTTTGTTCTTCAATACTGAATCATTACTATTATGAAAGATAAAGGTCAAAAGTGCAAAGAACGGGTGTAATATTCCAGAATGTCTATGGAAAATCAAACAGAGCACCAACAATTCTTGGTGGAGATATATTATATTCCAAGTAAAACATTTTTATTGCTACCCTAGTATACTCAAAGTCACAGTGAGCTTACTCTAGGATGATAGAATCAACTTTATTCTCGATTACTGTTAACATGTGGGCTTGCTCAATCCTTCCAAAGTTACTGCAGAAGAAAGCCCAGTCTTTAAATTCGTTTAGATAGAACCACTTTTGATAATTTGGACCATAACTTCCTGACTGGAATTTGGAGAAATGGGTTATTATACCCTCGCAAACACATCCTTCTGCAACTCTCCAAACAAAGCTTGAATCCTAACCTCTCTTACTACCTGAGGACAACTCTGAGCCTCCATTTTAAATTATTTTTCTAGTTAAAACCCGAACTGCGGGGTTTTGGGGTTTTGGGGTTTTGGGGTTTTGGGG